TTAAGCTATATAGAATTTATTGCAATGGATTTTGTTCTGTTTCAGATTCAGTAGTCATATTTTGTTGGTAATTCTGAAACTATATATTCTTTATCTTCTTTTTTATATATTGATTGATTCTTTATTGCTTCCTATTGCTGATTGTTTGTTACTATATATCTTAGTCTTGGCTTTCTTATAATTGTTTTATAGAATCTTAATCTTCTTTTTTTTAAACTCTATATTAGAATTTTCAGTGTTATATCCAGGATTAGTTTCTTCTATAGAGTTTCTCTCTATATAGGCTTTCTGTTGAATTTAATGTCTGTTCTACCTACATAATTGTTATATTGGTCTGTATTGGATTCATCTGTTTTTTAAATGTGAATATTGCTAATTTTATGTTTTGCTTATTCATATTCTTCTTATGGAGAGATGATTGCTTTTTCTATAGTTTCATTCTGTTGTTGCATATTTATCTCAAAATATTCTTGTGCACTCTATGTAAGTTTGTGTTTATATAGAAAGATATGTGTTTGAGTTCTTTATTGAGATCTTCTATTGTTGCAAAACATATAACTGCGTATCCTTTTCTCTTGAGTATATATGGGTTTTTGATATATAGCAGATTTTTGCTTTGGTTTGTTTTAAGGCACATATTAATAAGCTTGTGAAGATGTTATATATTCCATATAGCCTTAAGGACTGGCTATTGTGTTCTTTATTAATTTTGATTACTTCTTTATTAGTAAGTTCATGTTGAGTGAAAATAGCCCTAATCACTTCTGTTTTAAGGAAATTATCCATAGATCATTTAGCTTATTGTTTCATTTATAAGAAGTAATCTATGCCTTGATTTTTCATTGTGATCTTGAGTAGTTGTATATATGAATATTAGTGAGTTTTCTATATATCTGTAAAGCTGTCTTAACTTTTTGCTATATATAGATATTATCTATATCAATTAGGGTTACAAATAGATCTTTGTTCTCTTCTTCTATTTTTTCTCTAAAGATTTTTTATCAGGTCAAAATTCTGTCTCTTTTCATTTTTCTATACTTATAGGTATTATTGTAAAGTTCTTATCCTCTTTTTTGTTGACTTTCTTCAAACAATTCAGAGTGTCTTCTTGTTCTTTGAAAGTGAAGATTGTCCAAGCATTACCATTGAGAAATTCTTTTATGTATTGTTAAAGTTCCTTTAATAGGCTAAGAACATTTTGGAGATATGCTATTCTTTCTTTTTTACTTTCTCCTGGTATTCTGGATGTTAATGTTTCCAGTTTGTATGTTCTATTTTTGATAATGTGAAATAGATTAATACTAGTTGATTTTGATCTATTTTTAGTATTGTAAAGTTGTAGCTCTGCGATATTATCTCCTTTGACTTCTTCTTAAATTTGTTCCATTTCCAATTGATTCTCAATCTCTTTATCACTCATTTATATTTTAATATTGTTATGACTTCTATTGTATATGTCAATTTAATTTCTATAACTGTTTCTTCATTTGATAGTTTTGTCAAACTTCAATATGGGTTGTTTGTGACCATGTTTTTTTATTTTGCTTTTTGCTGTCAATGCGTTTTTTCTTCTTGTTCTATCAGTTCTATATACTTGTTTTTCAAGAAGAGGGCTAGCTAATCATTTTCTTTTCCTTGTCTTTGAGTCTATAAGTATAGGATATATTGTCTTAGGATTGTAGTTTTAGTGAAAATGATATGGTCAATGTTGAGAATTTTAGCTATAATGCTATTTAGAATTGAGTATCTTGTAGGACTAGGGACTAAATTGGGGTTGTCTTCTTATATAGCGATTGTATTGAGGATTGTTTGTATTGCCATAGTTTTTTTTCTTGATCATACTTATTAGATAGGTTAATCAGGATTTTTAGGATATGAATTTCACATTTCTTTGTGATTTGTACTAATCTTCATATTGTTGATATTGTTATACTTGTTACATATCACGGATTAATATGTTTAACTTGTGTTTTGTTGTTTCTAACACATGGTGAAGGTTTTTTTATCCCTTGATTCTAATTTGGTAATGCAGTATCATGGGCTATTCCGGTAAGTCTGTTGCTAATCTGTAGCATCTTGTGTAACCCAAACTTCTCAAGAATACTCACAAACGACATAAAGAAGAGAACACCTCCTATAAAGAATACTTAAGGAAGGCAGAGGCGTGGTGATTGACTTGGCTGAAGGTAAGTGTCTCTTTATTGCGTTCCGTTTCTTTGGTATATCACTAACTCTTATCTCTATTCTTAATGAGAGCTGTTTTTCTAACACATTCAGCTCTCTTCTCAAGGAGGGCTGTTTTTCTAACACCTTCAGCTCTGCTCTTTTTGGCATACATTGGTAAGTTATTTATACTTTTCTAATAATGGGCTATCTACTTTATAATCGGCTATACTAACCCTAAGCTTTGCTAAACTTTCCATACTTTTTCTGATACACATAGTTCCCTTATCAGTACCCGAGCCTTATCTATAGTTTCTTACCTTGCAACACTCAATCTTTCATACCAGACTTTCAGGTTTTGGATTCTAGACTATTACGCATAAATCATGTTACCCACATGATTCATAACAGTAGAAAACCTTAAAGATGTTGTGTTATAAATTTAGATTCTGTTTTACATATTTGTTATAATAATGGTGTTTTTGTTGTTAATCAGTTTGTTATGAACACATGAAAATATAAGTATTGTTGATCTGTTTATTGTAAATACATAGATAATCTATAAATGTTGTTTATATGGAAATGTAAAAATATGAGGTTATTGATCTGATTATATAAATAAGTAGATAATCAATAAATATTATTTATATGGACATGTCTTTTTAATCTTCTTTTCCTGAGGGAATATACATGTACATATTCATGTAATGTTGTATTTATTGAAATTTGTTTATTGTGATATATGTGCTTCTTTACCATATAGTCAATGAAGCTTGAACGTCACTCTGAATTTTATGAGTATTTGAGTTTAGACTGATTTATTGGTCTAAATTATTGCTTGTAAGGTTCCTCTTGATATATAAAAAGGTGTTAACCTGCACTAGCTTGGCCAAGAGCTTTGTGGAATTGATGTTGGGTTTCTAAGAACTTACTGTAATTCAGTTTTTATCTTTGTTTGTTCTTCCTAAAAAAGAAAAATTTTGTGTAGAAAGTTTAGAAATCTTTAAATACTTATTTGTTCCTATACTGTAACTAGTTGGTTCTATAGTTTTTTTATAGTGTTTCTTGTAAGTGGATGGTCTTTGATATTGGTTTTCTCTTGTTTTTTTGGGCTGGCTTCTCTTTTTTCAAAAATTACCAAAAAAAAATTTTTTTTTGAAAAAATGAGAATCAATAGAAAGAGTTTTTAGAATGCATAATAATTATGTAATATCCCTATGTATAAAAATATATAAATGTAACTTCTTTCTAATAACTTAATAAAACAATGAATATTAAGACGAATCTTTTGAATAGATTGTTATAACAGTAAAGTTATAAGTAGTTTTAGGAAGAACTACCTTAAGACTCACACAAATCTTTTTATACCTTTTCTTTGATTTTGTGTATATGTGATAGAAGAACAGACTCTTCTATCTGTAGGTTACATGAGCTTTTGGTTATTAGTGACAGACTCATTAATCAGCCTACTATACTGTAAATTAAAAAACTACTTGTGCTTGCTTGCAAAGTTTCTATAAATCTTTGTAATAGTTCAGAAAAAGTATAAACCTAGAATTATCAAATTCATTTTTAATTTTAACTCTCTTATTCAGTTTAGGAGTTAATTCATGAGTTTGCTTCTTTTTTTTTTATCATTCAAAAATTATATAACATATTTATATGTATCAATATGTAAAAAATCAAAATAATCTTTTATGGTTATCCTTAACAACATTTATAATGATTATTTATGATTATCTCATACAATAACTTCTTATAACTATTCCAAGTAACTCTCATAAATATTTCATCAAATCTTATACACATAGATATCTATTACATTCTTATCAAATAATCAATATTAAAAAAAGAAAGTAAATATAATTTTAGTATACTCCAAAACAAACTGATTCTTTTAATATTATCAAACTGTGAAAATAACAAAGATCAGTTACAATATATCAAAAACCATCATTTCAAAAATTATCACCTTCATACTCCAAAATTTTCTTACATATGAAATTATTAAATATGGAGAGATAAAAAATACACATTTGTTGAATTCCACAAAAGGTATACAAATTGTATAAAATGTTTTAAGATAAATGTCAATATGATCATAAACCTGTCAAAAGAATGTTGAAATGTACAAGAACTAGTACCCTTTAATCAAGATAGGTACCCCATACTGTTATGCTCCAGATTCATCAAAAAAGGTATATTTGTATCAAAAAAAAGTTGAAAAAAAATTACAAGTCCATGTGTCTAAAATGCAACACTGCAATTTTTGCAAAAATATTTGTATCATCAATGGTGGTTGTAATTTGGGAGCGCATAACATATTCAGATTTATGGGTAGAAATCATGTACACTACCATGAGCTGTGAGAATTGTTATAACAGTATCCCCAGAAATATCTGGGCCAATTTAACCATTAAAAACTCCTCATATGCGTATACACTATCCTTCCACATAATTAACATCTTGATTTCGAACAAATATCCAAGTATATCAAATAAAGCACAATTACTGTAGTTAACATCCCGATTTCCATTGCATATAATATGCGAACATTCAAATAATCTCTCAATTCTCGATATTAATTGAAAGAATCAGTAAAGAACTTTGTAATGTCAGGTTTAGTACGAGACCCTGCTTGCTCTCCTATAATGATTTCTTCTCTCGTCTCTCAAGACCGGGAAATAGATCGGCACATTTTCCATCAACTAGTTTATGTATTGCATGATCAAGTCCATGGTTTTTTCTGTATTTAGATGCAAATACGGGAACCTCCATGCTGAGAAGAATATAAGAATAAATTTCAAGATCTAATTGAAAATAATGATAAGATATTTCTATTTAAACCTAAATTTACGCTCGTCAATCCAGTCCTGCAAATTCTTGCAAAGCCTTAGAGAAAAATGATGTCCGAAATCTGACCAATAGTGATGTTCAGTACTTTCTGGAGCACTAATGTCCGGAACAGGTTTAAGGAATGATTCGATTCTACAACACAAGATGAGACGTGAATATTACAATAGGAAATGAAATGATAATAAACCTTACAAAGGTAACATTACTCGATACAGGTACTTTTTAAGTCTCTTCACCTCCTCAGTATCTTCAACTTTGTCTAAAATCAACGCATTTATGATGCGAACCCAATCAGAAATGATTTTCTTTGGACCGCCTTCAGTTAATGACTCCTACAAAATAACATAGCATATCTACGAATAACTGTTTTGTAAACTTGTTAAACACGAGTCATACAAATACCATATAATATTCCTCTATAATTCTACAACAAGATTCCGGTAGCACGGCATTTCTTTTCGTATATTGATCGATTGGCAAAAATTTCGCGAAACCACTGTCATCTCGGATGTCCATAACATCGTCGTTGGCGCAACTATACATTGAGCAAAGGTTCACATAGCATTATATGGTACCCTCTTTTAAAATAATTTAGTTCAAATACTTACGAGTACACATTATGTTTTTCTTGTTCTTTGTATTTTTCGAAAAGCGGAACAAATTCTCCGAAATACTGTTCAAAAAGAACCATTGAGCATTTTTCACACGTACCAACAGGTAAGTTCGAGCAATATCTTCAAAACAAATACCTTAACCCCATCCAGACTTGCTAGACTCTCAGCAGAAGCTCTACAGATGCTTTCCCTGTTTGGGATTTTTGAGGATTGAGAGATAGCTTGTTTTCAATGATTTGGTGGGGTGGAGTTCGAGTTCCTTTTGCATAATAAGCAAGAACAGATAAAGAATCAGGTATCTGAATAAGCAACAAAAAAAAGCCTCCTTGCCATCTTTCACGTCATTTCTATCTAATAGGCTGGGATAACAAGAATTATTGCAGGCTATACATATCTCAAAGAATTGCATTTTGTACTTACTCGCTTTGGGATCTTGTATGATTCTGATTCTCGATCTAATCAGTTTCGTCTAAGAATACAAAATGATTGACAGATGCAGAATACAAGACAAAATTAGGTGTAGTTAAAAACAAAACAACACATCATTACTGGCTGGTCCTGTTTGTATTACAAAGAGTAATCGATTAGAATTTTGTTACTGGTCAAACTTGAAAACGTAGCACACAACAATAAAACCCAATAACAGTTATCACCTTATGAGTCTAGTACGTTTTGCTGTTTTTTCGTTGTCATTATCGAGGAACCTCCTCGCGATGCTGGCGGTGGTTGACTTGGAGTATTGTGAAATGGTTATGTTTTGGGCTGTCTGTGTACGGAAAATGGATCAAGAGTGAATGTTTTGGTCTAGCACGTTGGATTGTAGGAGAATGAGTGAAGTACCTGCAACTTCTGAACCTTCGCCTGTCTTTTCCTCAATCAACTTGTTCTTCATAATATTTTGGTTTTCATTCTGAATCTTCCAAAATCTCTTTATTACTGATGACCGTTTACTTTCTTATTAGTGATAATAAAACAAAAGTTCTACAGTAAGTGAATGTGCCTAATAGACTTCGTTTGGTGATTTGTCCTATCCACATCACAAACAAGCAAGCACCCAGGTAGAATCATTCAATTATTTGAATATCTATCTTTCGCGAGCACCATGGGTCCCAAAGTTCATTAAGCATAGCTCACCAACAGACATGACAGTCGTTCCCACTACAAACACGACGGTTTGCAGAGTAGTTAGTGTACTCAATGGTACAAAGAGTCTCAAGGTGGTTTGTGGAGCAACTCACCAACAGACATGACAGTCGTTCCCACTACAAACACGACGGTTTGAAGAGTAGTTGGTGTACTCAGGTTTCTGATCCAATAAATAATACAATTGACTTTTCTTGAAATCATTTTTCCATTTTGATACTTGTTTGCCAAATGCTAATGCTTCGGCGTAAAATCTGCTGATGGTAGTTAGTTCATTATTATACCGAGTGTATTCAACTTTTGATTCTTCTAAGTCGCCAGCCGAAAGTCGAAATCTAAATATTTCCTGAGCGAAGGCACATCGTGCTCTCCCAAAAGGCTACATAATAATAATCACAAATGATAGGTTATGTTATAAGCATTGTCATAAGAAAACGGGTGTATAGTTTGCCTTACCAGGATACTTCAAAGCAACAATACACTCGGGAAGCAAGTGCATAATATCAAGCTGAATGTTTTTTAACGAAAAAATTATTTTATCATTCAAACTCATATATGATTGGTTAATCAGAAATTAGCGTATCTATATTTATATTATTTTCTAATTAACATGGGGTGCCGCTTATGCGTCACCCTTACGGCACCTGTGCAGCATTATATTCGAGTGAAATTTCCGGATCATAATCGCAGATCGTCACGCAGTCAAATTCGCGAAAATCGCGAAATTATCAAAATTGCCGTGAGCCGTATTAATGTTT